CCCCCCTCCCCCGGGCGCCTCTAGGAGGCAATACTTCCCCTCTCGCAAGCACAGAGTCTGAGTGTAGCAAAAGTCTTTTAATAAAGGAGAAAAACAATGCGGCATTATGTTGGGGAAACACCACAAACAGGATTCATAGCACAAACCATGAGCAAAAGACCCACCTCAATGTAAGTTTGGCAGTGTCCTTTTCCCCTCAGGGTCTTAAGGCCAATCACCCCAAAGTCCAACAACCCCAAAGTCTCTGTCCCTGGTCAGTGTCGCCCCAGAGTTCAAAAGTTTATCTGCAGAGTTTTACCCTCCCCCCCAGCCTGGGCGGAAATGGGGGGGGGCACACGGGATGTTAAAGGGCACCTTACGTTGTGTGACGCCAACTGCCCCATCTCTCCGTGGAGTTCTGCTGCAGCCTTTACCATGAATGGCTCTGCTCTACCAGCTCTACCCGTGCCATGCTGCTCTGCTCCTCCAGCCATCCCCGCAAACTGCTCCACTCTGCTCCCCGTTCCGTGGGCCGCTCCAACCGTCCCACAAACTGCTCAGCTCTGCCAGCCACTCCACTCCACCAGCCGTCCCATGAACTGCTCCAGCTGCCCCCGCAAATAGCTCAGCTCCGCTCTGCGCCGCTCCGCTCACTGTTCCATGGACTGCTCCAACCATCCCACAAACTGCTCCGCTCTGCCAGCTTCTTAGCAATATATCTTCAGGCTCCCCCAGTGGTTAACACAGCACTCAGTGATCTCAGCTCAGCAATTTTAGCTCTTTGCGCTTTCAGCTTGTAGGAGGGGAACCCCAGTGCTGGTACACCATTGGCCCAAAGTGAATTCAGTTCAGCAACTGCTAGCTAGACTCCTAACAGAAGCAAACTTAGCTCTGCTATTCAACAGTGGAGACAGAGAAATAAATTGGTGCTCCAAGTCCTCAAAAGGGTCCCAGACCACCAGCTATACATATCTACCCCCACCCTCTCTCAATTGATTGGGTTTTGTAACCCATGCCCCTTGTCTAGCGAGTGCTACTTAGTTACTGGTGAGTCCCTCTGTCATACAACAGTTCCACTGGCCTTGATTCACAGAATCAGGGTAACAACACTTTATTCTTCCTGCCCCAATAACAGAGAAACTGGGGATCCCACACCAGCCAAAGTAACCACTTTCAGTTGCTGTTGTCCCAGGCTAGGCGGGTGGGTGTGCCTATGCAAACAAGATCAGCCCCTGAAGTTCTTTTCCACCCTCACCATAATTCACCACCAGATGTCAGGGAGGAGCTTATCCTGACTCTGCTTACATCTATAACCAGCTCCCGCACTCCACCCCAGAGGTGGCTGCATCGTGGCGCCTTGGTGGAGGATCTCTGGAGGGGGCCTAACCTGCCTGCTTATGTCTTTCAGTGCTGGAAGTGTCAGGAGCTGAGGGCGATGTCGTGTCTCTGGAGACCCAGGAGGGCGACTCCCTGAGCCTGGGCTGTGAGGCTGTGAGCAGACCCGAGGCCACCCTGAGCTGGGCCAAGGGGAATGAGTCCCTCAGCCCTGGCCAGGGAGGGGCCGGGCGCCTGGAGCTGCCGAAACTCAGCAGAGGGGATGCTGGGGAGTATCGGTGCTGTGCGAAGAATTCCTATGGGTCGGCCAGCCAGGCCCTGCGTGTGCACGTGCAGTGTAAGGCACTAGGGGGCGCTGTGCTGCACAAAGGGGCCTTAGTGGAGGGTACTAGGCTGCAGGGGGAGGTGGTCAGTAGGGGGTGCTGTGCTCCAGGGGGTGGGCTGGGGTTCAGTAGGGGACGCTGGAGACGGGCAGGGGACCCATGGGGGGTGCTGGGCTGCAGGGAGGGCTGCGGGGAGGGGCGGGGGGTTATTGGAGGGTGCTGGGGTGCGGATCAGGGTTCTGTGTGGGGCTCTCTCTAATCTAATACGTTGCTGTGGGTATTTCAGCTCCAGTGAGGACTCTGCAAATCACCATCTCCAGAGCTAACAGGAGCAACCCCCAGCTATTCCAAGGTATCGCTAGGGGGTGGGGAGTGGGGCACGGGGCCTTTCCCCTCTAGGGGGGCCGGCCCTGATCCGGCCTCCAGGCAGGGACTGGTTGGCTCAGGCTGCAAGTAGCTCTGTGTTATTTCTATTCCCAGATCCCGGCACCCCGGTGGGGAACGGGTCACAGATCACGGCCCAGGAGGGCGACTCTCTGCGGTTCCTCTGCTCCGTCGCCAGCAGCCCCCCCACTGTGCTGGGCTGGGTGAGGGGGGGCCGAGCCGTCGAGGGCGCCCGCCCCATGGGGGAGAATCAGCTGCGGATGGAGCTGCCCAACGTGACGGCCGAGGACGGGGGGCTGTACGGGTGCTGGGCCCAGAGAAAGGAGAGCTGTGCCCTGGGGACATTCCAGCTGCTCGTCGAGTGTGAGTGCGGTTAACCCCGAGGCGCTGACACGGGAGAGTAGCAGTGTTAATCCATGGGACTCCTTGCTACTGAATACTAGCAGGTGTCACAGGGTGCCTGGCCCCTTTAAACAGAGACAGTGTAACCCCCTCCTGTGCCATAGTTAATTAGCTGCTTCGAGGGCAGCCCTAAGGGGGGCAGCTGAGGCTTGAACGGACTCCTGGGCCGTCTACAAGGGCCGTGAGCGCCCAGACTGAGGGTGGAAAAGCAGGTGAGTTGGTGTGAAGTGCAGCTGGCTGAGGATGGGGCCAGATTAGCGCCCAGGGGACGACAGAAGAGATGTCCCAGGGCAGAAGAACCCACAGGAGTCCCTGACATTCGATATTAGCAGGTTAATCTATGGGACTCCCTGCCCCTGGGTATTAGTAGGATTAACCCACGGAACTCCTGCCACTGGATGTGAGTGCGGTTAACCTGTGGGACTCCCTGCCACTGGGTTTCTCTCTCTGACTATTGTCACTGTGTCTCCTGCTCTCCCCAGACAGCCCCCGGCCGGGGACTGGGCTGAACTCGTCTTGCCAGCGCCAGGGGCACAGCGTCAGCTGCCGTTGCTCCCTGCGCTCTCACCCCCCACCCCGGCTCCAGTGGCAGGTGGACGGGGAGCCCGTGGCTGAGAACGGCTCGCGGGGGGCCCTGCAGGTCAGCTCCTGGGCCCAGGGGGACGAGGCCGTCAGCACCCTGAGCTGGACGGGGAACGGGGACAGTGGCTCCCAGATCTTCTGCCTCGGCTCCAACCCCCATGGGACCTACGCCGCCCTGCACTTTGACTTCAGCCCCCCACGGAGAGGTGAGACACTCAGACTCCTGGGTTCTGTCCCCAGCTCAGGGAGGGAGCCAGGACTCCTGGGTTCTCTCCCCAGCCCTGGAAGAAGAGTGGGGTCTGGGAGCTGGAAGCAGGGGAGTTGGGAACCAGGACTCCTAGATACTATCCACAGACCTGGGAGCACAGTGGGGTCTAGTGATAAGAGCAGGGGGCTGGGAGCCAGGACTCCTGGGTTCTCTCCCAGGCCAGCCGTGCCCTGTGCTGTGTGTTTTCACAGGTGCGGAGGAGCCTGGCAAGCTGCTGGGCATCGGGGTGGCCTGTGGGCTGGGGATCACCGTCGGCTTCTTCCTTCTCGGGCTCTGTGTGATCAAGTGAGTCTGATGCCTCCCGCCCTGACCTGCACCTGCCCCCCCCGAGATCCTGCTGAGATCCCTGCCCTCTCCCCTGGGTATCCCAGCCCTCCCCCCAGAGAGACTCCCCCCCAACCCCTCTCCCTGGCCTATCCCAGTCCCCTGTGATCTAGCCTCTCATACTGGTGTGCCACCTTCCTCCCTCCCACGGGGCTAGTCTACACCCGCCCTCCCGCCCCAGTCTCATGAGTCCATCCTGATCCGTCTCCCCACAGGCTGCGGGGCCGGGAGCCGGCGCCCCCCAGTGCTGAGGCTGGGGAGATGGCTAACGGGAGCCAGGCCGAGCACACGGCCGACGACGCCAGTCTGATCTACAGTAACATCCCCACCATGCCCATGGTATGTACCTGGGGAGAAACGGGGGACCAAGCCCACATGCCCTTCCCACCCTGTCTCTGCCCCCCTCCATTTCTCCTCCTCCCTCCCCCCGCTTTCCCACCCCCTTAATGAATGCATGAATATAAGCCAGGTTTTCACCAGGGCACCCAACCCTCCCATGCATGCCCGGTGCAAGAAATGCACCCCTGCCACCAGCCTGGGCTCCCCGAACTGCATGGGATCGGCTCCTGCATGCAAAAAATGCACCTCATCCCTCAGGTCTTGCTCAGAGGGGAGGACATGCAGCAAATGCATTCACATGCATTCACAATGTGCATGGGACTAGATTGGGGCTGGAATGCTGCTAACCTCAGGCATCTCCTGGATGCACCAACTGGACAAGAAATGCATTTCTGCTGCTGCCTGCTATGGTATCAGGTGCTTGTCATCAGACAGTGCATGTCGGGTGCTCTGTGTCTGTTGCACCCTTCAGAAAATGCAATGAAAGCATCAGCAGGGGCTGTGCAACCACGACATTCTAGGGATCAAATCGTGCATGCACAGTGCATAAAATGCACACAACCCCATGTGTCTTGCTAATGCATGGCCAGTACAGGCAATGCAGAGAATGCACTAACTTACCTGGTGCTGCCCCAAGATGCATGAGATCAGTTCATGCATGCTCGGAGCATGAAATCCAGTCAATACATTTTCTGAACATGTTCTGTGATGAGATGCATGAGACAAAATCCTGCATGCGTGGTGCATGAAATGCGCACACCCCCATGCATCTTGCTAATGCGTGGCCTGTGCAGCTGAGGCAGTGAATGCGTTAACCGAGCTGGTGCTGGCGTGGGATTGGCTCACGTGTGCAGCGAGTGTGAAACACACCCAATCCCCCGTCTCTTGCTAGTGCACGCCCGATGCCGGAAATGCATTTGCACGGAGGGTGGGGGAAACGAGGCCTGGGACAACCCATGCAATCAGATCAGCAGGGTGGATGCAAGTCTCTGCCTGGTGTCTCTGCCTTGCTTCTCACTCAGGATCACAAGACTCCAGCCGCCCGCCGGACCGAAGGCATCCAGGACAGGGCTGCCACAGCCCAGACCCCACTAGGCCCCGGGGAGCCGGAGGAGCTGCACTACGCCACCATCGACTTCTCCAAGCTGCAGCGCAAAGGGGCGGAGCCTCTGGAGGCCCCAGCCACGGAATATTCTGAGGTCCGGCAGAAATAGCCCCCTCGCGCCATGGGCCCAGGCTTGGCATCTCTGGCCTGTCCAGTGCGAGGGGGGTCACAGTCAAGGGGAAAGGGGGCAAGGGGTCAACCCAGAGCTGGAAACCTGGGTGCAAATCCCTGCTTGGCCCCAGACTCAGGGCGGAGTCAACTAGGCCTTGGAGATGCTGGAGCGCTGCATCATGGGCAGGTATCCCAGAGTCCTCTGCAGTCGGGTCCGAAAGCCTGCCCCTTCCCAAACCCCACTGCCCCCGGGGAAAGAGCCTCTCACCCCTCAGCCTTAGAGCATTTCTCTTCTACCCTGCCTGAGCCCTCACCCACTCGCTTCACAGATGGACAGGATTTTCACGCTCAGTGGCAGCTGCTGGCAGGAGCTAGGGTGACCAGACAGTAAATGTGAAAAATCGGGACAGGGGATGGGGGGTAATAGGAGCCTATACACAGCGGTGAGCTGAAGCCGGTACGCACCAGTTCGCGGGAACCAGTTGACACGCCGGACAACTGGTTCTAAAAGGGCTTTTAAATTTAACAACCGGTAAAGCTCCGGCAGCTCCCCGCCCACCTCCGGCCCCAGCTCACCTCCGCTCCACCTCCTCCCCTGAATGCTCCGCCCCGCTTCTCCTCCCCCCCCCGCTTCCCGCGAATCAGCTCTTCATGCGGGAAGCCTGGGAGGGCTGAGAAGCAAGCGTGGCCCGGCTCCAGGCGCCACGCGGCCCAGCTCCAGCCGAGCAGTGCGGCTGGTGTGCCACCAGCCACCTCCAGCCAGCTCGGTAAGGGAGCAGGGAGGGGGTGTTGGATAGAGGGCAGGGGAGTTCAGGGAGGTGGGGGGGTGGATAGGGGTCGGGGCGGTCAGAGGACAGGCAATGGAGGGTTGAATGGGGGCAGGGGTCCTAGGGGAGCAGTCAGGAAGGAGCAGGGATTGGATGGGGCGGTGGGAAGCAGTCAGGGGCAGGGGTCCCGGGGGGCAGTCAGAAAGGAGAGGGGCTTGGATAGGGCAGCGGCGGGCAGTCAGGGGCAGGAGTTCCGGGGGCAGTAAGGGGACAGGGAGAAGGGGTGGTTGGATGGGGCAGGGGTCCCGGGGGACCATCAGGAATGAGAGGAGAGGTTGGATGGGGCAGCTGGCGGCAGTCAGGGGACAGGGAAGGGGGGTGGATGGGGCAGGAGTCCCAGGGGGACGTCAAGGAACATGGGGGGTTATATGGGGCAGGAGTCCCGGGAGATGGGGGCGGGCCACGACACCATCGTGGGGTGAGGAGGGAACCAGTTGTTAAGTTTTTGGCAGTTCATCACTGCCTATACAGCAACTCCTCACTTAACGTCCTCCCGCTTAACGTTTCGAAGTTGCGTCGCTGCTCCATTAGGGAACATGCTCCTTTAAAGTTGTGCAATGCTCCTTTCTAACGTGGTTTGGCTGATTTTACAAGGGACTTTACAAGGGAGCATTGCACAAGTTCCTCTTCTCCGCCTCCCTCCCCCTCCCTCCCTTCCTCCCTCCCTCCCAGCACTTCCCCTTCAAAGCCAACTGGAGAGAAGCGGCGCTTTGAAGGGGAAAGCACCGCTTCTCTCCGGCTGCTGGCTGCGCGGCTGCCCCTGCTCCTCCTGAGTCCTCTGGCCCGTGCTCACACCCTGATCCCCCCTCCCGCACCCTCACTCCCTCCCAGACCCCGCATCCAACCCTGAGCCTCCTCCTGCACCCCCACCCTGAGCGCCCTCCTGCACCCTAACTTCCTCCCAGACCCTCATCCCACCCTGAGCCCCAGGAGGAGAATGAGGAAAAAAGAATGAAAAATGTGGGGGGGAGATAAGAGAGAATGCTCCCCCCATGGGGGGGCCCAAAAATGAAACTGAGCACAGGGCCCCACTAACTCTAAATCCGCCACTGATGGGAGGGGGAGGAGCGGGGAAGCGCCGTGTCTCCGTTCCTCCCCCTCCCTCTCCGAAAGTCTTACGTGCTGCCAAACAGCTGTTTGGCGGCAGGGAAGTGCTGGGAGGAGCGGGGACGTGGCATGCTCTGGGGAGGAGGTGGAGTGGGGACGGGAAGAGACGGGCCTGGAGTGGAGTGGGGACGGGAAGAGGCAGGCCTGGAGCATCTCCCGGCAAAGTCAGCACCTGTTCTTCTGGGGGGAAGCTGCTGCTGCACAAGGTGCTTCCTAGCATCCTTGCTTGCCTCATTGCCTGCAGCGGGTTGTGCCTGTGTGGGGTAAGCCAGGGGCACCTCCCCACCACAGTACAGTATATAATGCCTTTTGTCTGCCCCCAAAACATTTCCTTGGAAACTAACCCCCCCCATTTACATTAAATTGTATGTGAAAATTGGATTCGCTTAACATCGTTTCACTTAAAGTTGCATTTGTCAGGAACAGAACTACAACGTTAAGTGAGGAGTTACTGTACAAGAAAAAGTCCCCAAAATCAGGACATCTCATCACTCTAGTAGGACTAAAGAGATGGGTTTGTGGCTAAGGGGCTGGTCTGGTATTCAGGCTTCCTGCGTTCTAATCCTTGCTCCACTAAGAACACTGTAGGTGAGCTTGGCCAAGTTGCTGCATCTGTTCAGTCTCAGTTAGGATACTCCTGGTCCCCTGGGTTGTTTATTTTATAAACTCTTAGGGGCAGGGAGTGTCTCTCGCTGTGTCTGGGCAGCGCCTGGCACAACGGGGCCCTGGTCTCTGCCTAGGTCAAGCAGTGCCCCGTGATTATAACTTCGTAATAACAATGTTCTATTGAAGGTAACATGTTCACTCCAAAGCGAAAAACATCCGACTGTAAAATTCCCTGTTCACAAGCTGTTACTTGAAATAGATTTTCATGTGTCATTTTTTGTCACTGCTACTTTTTCAACAAAGGCCACTAACAACTCTGACTTATTTGTGCCCAGTAAAGAATCAGTTTTCACGTCTGCCTTTCCCCTGGAAGGCCCTGATTGCAGCTGGTTTCTGGGCAGGGCCGGGCATAACACGGCCCCAATTCCAGCTGGGGCGAGGCCTGTCTCTCGCTGTGTCTGAGCAGCACCTGGCACAATAGGGCCCTTATCATAAACATACAGCTAAGAGGAGCATAAAATCCCTCCTTTACCTCTAAGGGGTTAAGAAGCTCAAATAACCTGGTTGGCACCTGACCAGAAGGACCAATGGGGAAGGAAGATACTTTCAAATGTGGGGGGGGAGGGGGAGGTTTTGTTTGTGCTCTTTGTGTGTGCTCCCTCGGGACGGAGAGTGGCCAGGGCAGGAAAAAAACCTCTCCTAAAATCCTACCTGAAATAAGCATCTAAGGTTACAAAAATTGTAAGTAAAGCAAGGAAATGTGTTAGATTATCTTTTATTGTAGCTTGTGAATTTTCCTCATGCTAAGAGGGAGGTTTATTCCTGTTTTTTGTAACTTTGCAGTTTTGCCTGCAGGGGAATCCTCTGTGTTTTCAATCTTATTACCCTGTAAAATTCCCTTCCATCCTGATTTTACAGAGGTGCTTCTTTTACTTTTTTCTTTATAATAAAGTTCTGCTTTTAAGAACCTGATTGATTTTTAGTGTCCAAAAACCCAAGGGTCTGGTCTGTGCTCACCTTGTTTACCTATTTGGTTGGTATATTATTCTCAAGCCTCCCCAGGAAAGGGGGTGAAGGGGATTGGGGGGATATTTTGGGGGAACAGGAAATCCAAGTGGTCCTTTTCCTGAATCTTTGTCTAACTCCCTTGGTGGTGGCAGCGATACCGTCCAGGGACAAGGAAGGATTTGTGCCTTGGGGAAGTTTTTAACCCAAGCTGGTAGAAATTAGCTTAGGGGATATTTCATGCGGGTCCCCACATCTGTACCCCACAGTTCACAGTGGGGAGGAAACCCTGACAGCCCTGATCCCAGCTGGGGCAAGGCCTGTCTCTTGCTGTGTCTGGGCAGCCCCCAGCTCTCACGGACTCCCAGGACACATTCTCACTGGGCTCTGTACAGCCCCTGGGAGTGACCCTCCTTTGGCATGACACACACACACCCCTCCCCGGGACGGTTGCACTCTGTCTCCGGGGTTAGGCCCTCTAGCCCCACTGCCTCCTTCGATCGCACCTCAGAGCTGGCCTGTCTCTGCCGTGGGCCCCTCACCCTGGAGCCCCAGGGCCTCCACGCCCAGAGGGAGCAATCCCCCCAATCTCTACCCTGCAGTGACTCTCCGCCAGCGTAACACAGGAGGTTTATTGAATGTCTGAACCCAGCCCAGGCAGTTCTCAGGACCCTTGGGCCTAGCAACCCTCAGCACGGGAGATCTGGGTCTCTTCTGCATCCAGGTGGGCTCTGACTGCTCTCCCCCCAGCCCAGAAGCCCCCTCCTTCCAGCTGAGCATCCGATATCACCGGTCCCAACAGCTCCTCCCTTTTCCTTTATGTCCTTTGTCCTCCATCCCAGGTAAACAGGTCACTGGGTCCTCTCTGCTCAGCCCACTTCCTCCACTGCCCGGAACTGGCTGCCTTCCCAGATGGGGGGGGCTCCTGGTCACCAGTTACTAGGGTCCCCCATCTCCAGGCCGTTGTCCGGGGTCCCAGCTGTTAGGCAAGGTCACACCTGTCCTCTGCAACAGCGAACCCTCTTCCACCACCTCATTTCACACACAGCACACAGGGAAACTGAGGCACACACACAGCATTCATGTAAACCACTGTGAAAATCCCCAACTTCTTCACACCAGCACACCGGGGCCCCAGTCTTATTTGGCACAGGGCCTGTCTCTGTCTGTATCTGTGCAGTGCCCGGCACGACGGGGCCCTGAGCTCAGCCAGGGTTTCAAAAGCACTATTGCAGTACAAATAACACTCACACACAGGGCCTTTGATTTTCACATTGTTGCTAAAGGCAACAGTGATGATGTAATATCCATCGCCATCCATAAGGAGTTTCACTTGGCTCCGCACAACATTTTGATTCAAAAACTAGAAGGATACGAAATTACTGTGACCCAGATTCAAAACTGGCTAACTGCTAGATCTCCAGAGGTAATTGACACCGGGGAATCAGTAGCAAACGCGCGTTTCCAGAGGGATCCCACAGGGAACTGTTCTTGGCCCGACGCTCATTAACACCTTTTTTAACGACCTGGAAGACAACATAAAATCAACCCTGATCCAGTTTGCAGATGACACACAGATGCAGGGAGTGGCAAATAATGACGAGGCCAGGTTACTGCTACAGAGCACTCCAGGTCGCTTGGTAAACTGGGCACAAGCAAACAGTGTGTGTTTTAATAGGGCTAAATGTCAACATGTTCACCTAGGAACACAAGGTGTCAGCCGGACTCACAGGATGGGGGACGCTCTCATGGGCAGCAGGGACTCTGACCACAATTCGGGGGTGATGCTGGATAAGTAGCTGAACATGAGCTCCCGGTGCGATGCTGCGGCCAAAACAGCTGCGGCCGTCCTGGGTGTATCAACAGTGGGCTCTGGAGTCAGAGCGCGGAGGTGATTTTCCCTCTGGATCTGGTGCGACCACTGCTGGGATCCTGTGTCCAGTTCTGGTGCCTGCAGTTCCAGAAGGACGTTGACCCATCGGGGAGGGCTCAGAGGGGAGGCAGGAGAACGATGAAACAGAAAACCTGCCTCAGAGTGAGAGACTCTGGGAGCTCCAGCTGTTTAGCTTAACAAAGAGCAGGTTCAGGGGTGACTTGATCCCGGTCTATAAGAACCCACGGGGGGAACAAATATATGAGAACGGGCTCTTCAGTCGAGCAGAGGAAGGTCTAACACCATCCAGCGGCTGGAAGTTGAAGCTCGACAGATTCAGACTGGAAAGGAGGTAGACATTTTTAACCACTGGGCCAACTTACCAAGGGCCA